GTGATACATTTTTTTCTGTTTTGTATGTTTTTTTCCCCAAATAAGTCTGTTTACCATTTGACCAAAATACAGAAACAAGTAATATTGTGAAATATTACAGTCTAAATTAAATGTTTTCTATTTGAATACACTGTACAATGTAATTTATTCCTGTGATGCAAGTGTCTTCAGTCTTCAGTGTCACACACGATCCTTCAGAAATCATCAAGAAACATCTCTTATTATTATTTTCAATGTTGAAATTAATATTTGTTAATATTTTTGTGGAAACTGATCATATTTTTCTTTGAATATAAAGTTCAAAAGAACAGATTTTTTTGTTTGTTTTTATATAACATTATGCATGTCTTTTCTGCCATTTTAAATCCGTTTTTAAACCTGGTTGAATTAAAGTATTAAAGGGGTCATATGATGCGATTTAAATTTTTCCTTTGTCTTTGAAGTGTTGCAAGCTCTTGGTGCATAAAGAAGATCTGTAAAGTTGCAAAGACTGAAGTCTCAAATCCAAAGAGAAACAATGTACAGTATGTGGAAAATAATGTGTTTTTTGAAACATCGTATGACCCCTTTAATAAAAAATTTATGTCTCTCATACCCTCCTGGCTTATCAGAATATAATTTATTTATTTTGTATTTTTTCGAGACAGATCGCTGCAATTCTGACCCTGCCGTTTGACGTGGTGAAAACACGCAGGCAAATCCAGTTAGGAGAAATGCAGGCACTCGGAGGTATAGCAGCTTCTGTAGTTTCTCCTGTTAACACATTAGAAAGAGTGGAGTAATGCAACCTGCATGCTGAGTGACACATGATGTCATTAGGTGACGGCTCACTTTTAAAAACAATCCGGAGCTGATTACCTAAACTAGATTTAATTACATTTATCAGGCACCAAATTTCTCGACATTTTGACCTTTCACAGCAGTCTCTGTGAAGAAACCGTCCTCCACATGGAACATGATGAGGAATATCTGGATTGACATGGGATACAGGGGTTTGTTTGCTGGTAAGCTCTCAGATCTAGTGATAGTGACGTCAGAGTAGTTATATAACTTTACTAACCAAACTACAGATTGACATTAGTTAAAAGAGGCCTGTTTGTGAAAGTCAGGATTAGGGCTGCACGATATATTGAAATAAAATCATCATTGTCAAATCACGCAGGCTGCTATTTCTGTAAACATATTCGCGACCGGTTTCAAAGTGAAGTGCAGCATTTACACGTAGCTCGTGTTCAGCAGCGCATATTTTTGTGTGCCCCTGTCAAAATAAAAGCTTGATGGTTTACCATTTGAAAATGAAGAAATTAAGATGCAACTATTAATACTGTAATTGTAAAGTACAGTTGTATGTTTTTATGCAAATGCACTCCCCACATAATCATCCTACTCATTCTTGAATTATGTATTTCTAAATATAGCTTCTCAAGTCATCTGGTGAAAATTCATATCGCAATAAAACACAGAAAATCAAAATATCACAATGCCAGTTTTTTTCTAATATCATGCAGCCCTAGTCAGAATTAATAATGCAGTAGTAATATAATACTATAGTTTATAGCTTTTTGTTTGGATGTATAATATATTTTATGCATAGAACTGTATTGTTAGTTTTGGGTAGGACCACACTTTTATTTTATTTTATTTTTATTTTTTTCAGGTTTTCTTCCAAGAGTGATCAAAGTTGCTCCCGCCTGTGCAGTCATGATCAGCACTTATGAGTTCGGGAAAACTTTCTTTCAGGAGCGTAATCTGAATCAGGCGAGATGCGGACTTTGAGATGAGCGAGAGGACCAGAGGTTTGTCCAGGATGATGAGGAAGCTGAGACTCCTCCTTGCCAGCTACTGCAAACACTGATGACTTTAGCCAAGTGTTGAGTTAGTTCTCTGAAAAAACTCTAATTGTTGGGTGATGTGCCTACTGACTGGCACAAGGAATAAAAGCTGTGAGACTTAAACCACTTTCTTTGCATCTGAGATGAAAGACGTGCATTATGATGCATCAATAAATGCACAATTTCCCCACAAACCCTGTGATGCCTTAAGTAACAGTACCAAAGCATGCTGGCAGAAGCACTACCTCCCCATAATGCCCTACTTATTGAAATGGCTGCCGGTTGAACGTGACATCCAGGTTGTTGTATCTGCAATGCATGACTTTAGTCCCTTTTATCAAAGACACAGTGCTGCCCTCTGCTGTTCATGGTGAAGAAACCTCGGTGGATAAATGGACTGAATGGATAAACTACTCAATACTGAGCTTTACAGTGTCTTCATTTTCAGCAAGAAAAAAAATTCAAAAATGATTATTATTTTATGTAATCGTTTTCTTTTTTTGCAAATATTTAACTCTCCTAAAGTAAAAGACTTGTATTTTGTATGGGCACTGGACTCGGGAATAGCTACAAGAACATTTTTATAGCTTTGTTTCATGCATTGAGAATATAATGCACCTTTTTTTTTTTTTTTTAAGGCACTAATTGTTCTAGTGTGTAGTGGATGGGTCTCTGGTCTTGCCCTGTTTGCTACTTGTTCACTGCATTTAGTTCAGATATGAGCTGCTGTAAAACTTACTGCTGACTTGAAATGATTACAGTTCTCAGATTGTATTTAATAAAATACCTTTAAGAAACTTGATGTGTATTACTGCACTATGCATGAAGCATACTACAAAAATTAGTCATAGATTGCATTTCTGGCTGAATGTGAGAGAAGGTTGTGTGTTGTCTGTTCTTCTAGACCGACAGACATGAGGGTGTGTGTGTGTGTGTGTTTCTCTCACAACAGGAGTTACTTCACATAAACATCAACATGCATATTTCTTATTCTTGGTTTGGTGGTGTACATTTTATGACGTATGTGAACTTGCATATTATATATGGAGTCTGTTCAGCCATGTCATTTATTACCAATTATAATAACAACAGAAAGCGCAAAGAAACAAAACATTAACCCCTTCAGACCCTGCGTCCATTGAAATGGACATCACATGATTTTTTTTGTTTAAACCAATAAAATGTTATGTTTTTATAATATGAGCAATTCCTGGTCACTGATTGGTCCCTGATCAACCAATCACAGTGAAGATATGACTCCTAACTTTATCTGATTGAGCTACAGGCATCAGAAAAGAGAGACATGACTAACCAACTAGACCGGAAGAGGAGGAAGTCCACATTTGACCTTTTATATGCAGATTTTTGTTTATGGTAGCCTCATCAACTTGCACCTATTATAAAATTAAGACTATCAAATGATAATTTTCAAAGTTATTTTGAAGATCTTTCAGAGTTGCAGAACAGGATTTATTTTTTTATTTTATTTTTTCAAATTTAATGTCCATCGCAATGGACATCGGGTCTTGAAAGATATCAGCAGGAACTATGCTAATGTTAATGTTTTATGACCATTGATGTTAACTAATGAAATTAATATTAATATGATTTAATTTGTCTTCAAAGTGACCATATCCTGTCAATCAATTTTTCATTGGTTTTAGTGAGAAACAGCCATAGTGCATGTGAGATCAGTGAATACGCAGCAAAACACACTCACACCCCCCTCGCACACACTGATGCTATAATGCACACAATCATATATTCATCAAAACAATCAGCAAGTACACATAAACACATTCACATACACACAAAGACATTTATACATATACTCATATTCACTCACTTCAACCAACAAAAAGGATCAAACTAGTTTTTTCCACATTCTTATTGTATTGATAATTCTTACAGTTTGTGTTCTTTTCAAAATCTTAAACACTAGTTCAACTATAGTGCACAAACTCTACTTATTAAGTATGGTTAAAATATGAGGATTTTTATGTTCAGTCCTGCTGTCCATTATAGTGGACATGAACAAAATCTAATAAAAAATGAGTTGGCACAAATCTTGTATTTTAGACTCATTTCTATACTGGAGAAGAGCAAATATGAAGTGGATAAAACAAAATGTGTTCAGTGAAAATAATTCAGGTCTGAAGGGGTTTTAAGATTAAAATGATTTCCTTGGTTGCATATAAACAAGCATTTTACACATGTATTTGAAATTAATCTCGAAACAGAATAAATGTTCACGACGCAAGCGGAAAATTTCATATTTAATATACTTCATCTACATATGGAGTACAGTGCATTACTGGCCCATAGAGGGCGACGCCACTGGAGGATCGTATGAACGTACGAGAGACGTATGCAGTGACGCACACGCGTCGAACGCGCGTCTTGCCTTAAAAGGAAGCGCCGCCTCTCAGTCGCTCTCTTTCAATCGGACCGGGGACAAAATGGTGAGTGATCGACTCTTCTTCACAATCTATCCTGAATCAAAGACATCCATCTGATTTCAAACACATCCTATTCTGTATATTATACACAGAAGGCAAACGAATATTTTGCAGTGATTATAGATGGTAACCGCAGTGCCTGGGTGTGTTGCACATGGTGCGTGTTTGACCGAAGGGGAAAATGGCAGCGTCCTGCTCTGCTTTGAAATCTTAACACGGATAAACCATTTAAATGCGTTTTAGAAAGCACAAGGGTGAAAGGGAGATATCATAAACCATTCTGCCTGTCGAATGGTCCTTTCCTGGGTTTCTTTCATTGTCGTTGTGGGAGATGTTTTCTGCGCTTCTTTTTAGGGCCTATCCAGTGAAGTGTCGAAGTAAATTTTAGTCACTAGATAAAGGAACAGTCAGTGTTTTCTTGTGCTGTCTGGTATTTCCAGGTGGCAACCCATTTAATGTAAAATCAGTTTTTGTGAATCTGCCTGTTCGACTTTACTCGTGCAAGAAAACATTTTTACGGTTTCAAGACTGGACTAGTGGCTTTTTTTTTTTTTCCATCTAAGATGACTTGTTAGAAATTGAAATATTAAGCTTATCTAGTTTAAGTTACAAAGATATGGGAGCTTACAGGAAAAAATGTTTAAAGACAGTTTTTCTATCAAAATTAATGGTACATTACAGAAGTAATGTAGATTAATTAAGAATTTTCTTTTGTGTAGTCTCACCGTAAGTTTTCGGCCCCACGCCATGGCTCTCTGGGCTTCCTGCCCCGCAAGAGGTGCAAACGCCATCGTGGCAAGGTGAAGAGTTTCCCTAAAGATGATCCCAGCAAGCCTGTTCACCTGACCTCTTTCCTTGGCTACAAGGCTGGCATGACCCACATTGTCCGTGAGGTCGACAGACCTGGCTCAAGTAAGTTAGTTTATACAGAGTTTGTTGCATGTAATGTGAAATCTACTTTGCTATTAGGGTGTCTGCCAGTGATGATAAACCTCGACGGGCGGACATATTTGGGCCTTGAACCCTTGCTGAATGTCGAGTTCTGAGCACAGTTCAAAACTTTTTTAAATCCTGGTTCTAAACCGGCATGCTGGTTTACAGTTAAACTAACTTGTGTTTTTTGTGCTTATCAGAGGTCAACAAAAAGGAGGTGGTTGAGGCAGTGACCGTTGTGGAGACTCCTCCCATGATTGTAGACCTGTTCACCTGACCGCTTTCCTCGGATACAAGGCTGGCATGACCCACATTGTCCGTGAGGTCGACAGACCCGGCTCAAGTAAGTGAAAGCATACAGAGTTTGTTGCATGTAATGTGAAATCTACTTTGCTATTAGGGTGTCTGCCAGTGATGATAAACCTCGACGGGCGGACATATTTGGGCCTTGAACCCTTGCTGAATGTCGAGTTCTGAGCACAGTTCAAAACTTTTTTAAATCCTGGTTCTAAACCGGCATGCTGGTTTACAGTTAAACTAACTTGTGTTTTTTGTGCTTATCAGAGGTCAACAAAAAGGAGGTGGTTGAGGCAGTGACCGTTGTGGAGACTCCTCCCATGATTGTAGTGGGTGTTGTTGGATATGTCATGACCCCTCGTGGCCTGCGCTCTTTCAAGACCATCTTTGCTGAGCACATTAGTGATGAGTGCAAGCGTCGCTTCTATAAGAACTGGTAAGGCTTGGTTTTGATAACTTCTGATTGGTTTTGTTTAGTCTGGAGCTGATGGTTGATGGCCAGAATAAACATTTGTCATGTTTTTCTGGGCCAGTCTAATGTATTGGTGGGGTGCAGCTCCGCTCAGGTGCCTAGTGCCCTGATGAGCTCCGGGCTCCTCTGGCCGGTGGAAAGGGCTCCTTAGAAACTGTGCCATGAGCCGAAATTACCTAGTGCTGTTGACGCCCCCCTTTACCCTGAGGATGGGCTAGCAGCCATGCCCAGTCTCCTTCCACTGGCCTGCTGGGCTATGAAGGAACTGTGCGCCAACCTTTCCCTGTGCCATGTTCAGGTACAAGTCCAAGAAGAAGGCCTTTACCAAGTACTGCAAGAGGTGGCAAGATGAAGAGGGCAAGAAGCAGCTGGAGAAAGACTTCTCCTCCATGAAGAAGTACTGCCAGATCATTCGCATCATTGCCCACACACAGGTGAGCTTAAAAGCTGCGGCACAAAGTTACGCTGTGAGCTTTAGTGATCACTTTGACGCTTGTTGAATAGGCTGGGAGATTATGGCCAAAATATCACTATTTTAATTAAAGTCACTCTACTTGTCTCATACCATTAAATCCATTCCACATGTTTGTCTCAAGAACAAATTGAAATTAGTTTTGAAGTGAACTCGGATTTTGCTTTTAATTTTGGGTTGTATGTATTTATTTTTTTTCCCCCTCCCAAATGTCTTACTTTCTGGATCCCCCTCCCACACAATTTAATAGAAGTTTCTGATTTAACTTAAATTACTATCAAAACTCATTATGAATCTTTGCCAGTGTAATGAACCTGATTTTTCAAAATCGCTTTGTCAAAGATGTTGTGCAACAAATTGTGTACTCTATTTTTGTTGAAAGCTTGGTTGTGACTTGTGCGTTTCTAGTGTATACAAATAGCATTTTCTTTTAAATGGAGCTTTACCAACCATCCCGCTTTCTGTAGATGCGCCTGCTGCCCCACAGACAGAAGAAGTCCCACTTGATGGAGATTCAGCTGAACGGAGGCTCCATTGCTGATAAGGTTGACTGGGCCAGAGAGAAGCTTGAGCAGCCCATTCCCATCGTTAACGTCTTTGGTCAGGATGAGATGATTGACGTTATCGGTGTTACCAAGGGTCACGGATACAAGGGTAGGTGGATGGCTTTTTGTTCAACATTTGTCTGTTCCTGTGAGTTTTCATTTGGTAACCATTGTGCACAATGATGAAAGACATGGATTATTAGCGTCAGGCATGGCGCCCGAAACGCATGAGGAAATTTCCCATGCTGCCTTCCTTCTGACAGCACACTTGCTGTGTTTTAAGCCAATGAGCTTCCAAGAGCACTTTCTAATCAAATGTTTTTGTAGGTGTGACAAGCCGCTGGCACACAAAAAAGCTGCCCCGTAAGACCCATCGTGGTCTGCGTAAGGTGGCCTGTATTGGAGCCTGGCATCCTGCCCGTGTGGCTTTTTCTGTGGCTCGTGCCGGTCAGAAGGGCTACCACCACCGCACGGAGATCAACAAGAAGGTGAGGCCTCAGAATTAGACCCAAGCTTTCCTGTAGGATCAGTTTTAAGTCTTTCCTCTTTTGAGTCTTGTTTCTCATGATGTTTTGTGTTTTAGATCTACAAGATTGGTGCCGGCTATCACACCAAGGATGGAAAACTAGTTAAGAGCAACGCTTCTACTGAATATGATCTGTCCAACAAGAGCATCAACCCCCTGGTGAGTGTGCAGATTTCTGCCTTATGGGGTTTTCAGTTACTTAAGGTTGTGTAGTGAAAGTTTTTAAACCCACTTTTTCCACGTTATAGGGTGGCTTTGTGCACTATGGTGAAGTGACCAACGACTTCCTGATGCTGAAAGGCTGTGTGGTCGGAACCAAGAAGAGGGTTTTGACCCTACGCAAATCTCTCCTGGTCCAGACCAGCCGCCGTGCCCAGGAGAAGATCGACCTCAAATTCATCGACACCACCTCCAAGTTTGGTCATGGACGTTTCCAGACCATTGAGGAAAAGAAGAGCTTCATGGTGAGTGCATGCGTGCAGTGGTTACTCAGCACTTTATCCCTGCTATGACCAGAGCACCCAGAATCAGACTGGGGCCCAAAGATATTGGTCTGAAATAGGCTGTGCTCGAGTGTCCTGAGGCATTGGTGGATTCTGCACTTTTAATTTTACATGCACCACACCTAACTGCCTCCATGCCCATGGTCCTCTGCAGGTCAGTGCACTGTTCGTAACCTGTTTCAGCCTGTCAGTCTGAGATTTGGGTTCCATTCCAGTGCAAGATAAAAGCTCAGTGAGGCAGGGGAGTGGTGCCTCTCTTGTGCTTTCTCCCTGTTCACTCTCTGATGACATTTATACCAGTTATACATTATCTACCTTTCTGTTAAAATCAGTTTGAGTTAAATTGGCTGGTAACCAATCTTTTCTTTCAACAGGGACCCCTCAAGAAAGACCGCCTTGCCAAGGAGGAGATGTCATAATCGTACTCTGCAGTACTGCATGACAACACCAGACAGCAGAGTTTAATAAAAATCACCAAAATGAACGGGCTCTGTAACATTTTTGCATTTCAGAATGGTTAACTGTTCTCAGTTCTCCACTTGGTTTAGTGTAGTGGTTCTCAACCTTTGTGATATGTCCATCCCCCCCCTGTTTTTTTTTTATTTATTTTTTTTATATAAATAAGAGCTTTAAGGTTCCACAAGTAGAGCTGCTTGTTCTTTAGGGCTGCTTTTATATAAATCAAGAAATTAATTAATTCCAGTAATTTCCTTATTTTAAAAGATATAGGTATTGTATAATTTGTACCCCACAAAAAAAATTGCACAAGGTATACTTGCGAAAAATGCACCTGGGGTTAATTTATTTTGTGCATGACATTTCCAGGTCTTGAAGTCTATTTAACTGTTTCTTAATTCATGCATTTATTCCTTGAGCATGCATGTGGAGAAAATAAGGTGTTTTTGTTGGGGTGTCTTGACTTGATTTTCAGATTGTTGTGCAACTAAGTTGTAAACATCAACTGTTCACAATCTAAATGTTATGCTGTGTCCATTTAACACTGGAACCAAATCATACAATTACAAGTCACTCTAATCTTGGATGTAGGTCTCAACCAAATAGCTTTTGCTAAGAAATGTAGTCTTTATTTTCCATGTATGACCTCTGTGAAAGGTTGCTCCAGGAAAGCAGTGCTGCAGAGCGGGAAGCAGATCAATGGCAGCCTTGTGGATCCCCCTGACTCAGCGAAACTCCTGGCCTTCAGGTGCTTGGTCGATAATGAATGCTGTATATAACTTAATTAGTATTGTATGTTCACAAGGCTCCTCTAGAGGACAAAAGTTGATTCCGAACACAGTTGGGGAAAGTCCACACTAATCTCGCCTTGATCAAAACACTTGTACTGTATGCCACTTTTTATTCCGTAATTCTCCGTATTTGACATGCATCTTTCTCAGTGTCTAATCTGCTAAATTACTTCACAAAGCTCAAATTAGCTCTGTCTGACAGCAGCTTCATTGTAATGAGGGAGGATGGGACTGATGAGGGCATTGTCAGGAACTCTACCTTTCCCTGTCATGTTCATCTGTCCAAACACAACACCCCACAGCACTTGTGCCCAGATGTCCATACCAAAGAAACAGCTGGCTCTCCCCACTCCCTCTGGCCTCCTACCCCATCCCACCATTACACAGTTCGAAGAGGGCTGCCAAGGACTTTTGTTGCAACCTCGCACTCTCTGCCTGTTCTACTCGTGTGTAAATTTTTGTAGCAATCCCAAACAACAATGGTTAAGCTGGCAATGCCTCTAGGTTTTGTCCTTGAGAACGGAGCATCCCTCTGAGCGTTGGGGGCATCAAGTTCGGATTGAGGCTTTTGTTTATGACAGTCCCAAGGGAGCTCACCTAATTAAGACTCTGTCCTCACACTGACTCATTGCAAAACTGCTTCCCCCATCGTTTCACAGCGTAATAAGAACCCTGGAAGCTCTTCACACACTGTTTAGGTCTTACTTCCTCCTTGCCTAGTAGATATGCTCTCTTGGCAAGAATCGCTTCGCCCCTCACCCACCACCCTTCCAGAAATATTCATAAGGATTTATCAAGGATGGCACCTTTATTTTTTAAGAGCTTAGACCTTGGAGTGTTGTCGTTTTTTTTTTTCACTTTTTCAAAGGGAAGGGCAGACCACTTCAACCCAGATTCAGAGGGGGGAAAAGACTGGATTATAAGATTTCACTAGATTTCACTCTGAAAAAAGGCAAGGGGTTAATTTTTGGCTGATTAGCATCCTAGCCTAATCACATTGAATTTGCAGTGTTGACTGGTCAAAGAGTCGCGGCACGAAAATACTTATTAAAAATTAATTTGGGAAAAATGTAACTATATTATTAAAGCAGTGAATATGACAACTGTCTATGGTCTCCCATTGATTTACATCATGGACTGTTGTGATTAATATACACAAAATAAAATATAATACCTTATCTCCGAAAACACTTTTGGTCTTTGATTTTATAATGAAATTATTATAATATTATAATGTTCATTGCCGCCTCATTTCCCACCAAATATTTTCATGAATTGGAATAT